CCGCAATACTCTCATGTATATTGCCAACAAAGTTGTTGCGTTTTTTCTTTTTGTGTGCTAACAGTTTTGGCAGTGTTTCCGTATTGTAGCATTTCTGCAAACAATTTCTGATGCCAAGGTCTGAGCCGAAATTGTCAAAAACAGAAATTGTTTGCTGGGTACTTACTTGTGTGCATCACGCACTTGATGAAATCTACTTGATGAATCTCAATCAGTACTAGAGAGTTTAGAAACAAAAAAGTTAATTAACACAGCTGTCGATTGTTGTCAGCGATCTTTGGCAGGCAAAAAAAAAAAAAAAGCGTAAAAGCGAAATTTTCGCGTAGCAAAGCCGATTTTATTTCACCGAACACAAACTGGTTCTGGCTATATTGCACGCCTGTCAGTGACAACAACAACAACAACGTTATTATCTACAAACGAACGATTTAGTCGGAATTGATAATTACCGAGCTAAGCTGCTGAATGTTACAACGTTAAGCCGCACGAACTCGCAAAGCTCATGGCTTTCCATGTAACGAGCGGATTAGCTAGCGATCAATGGCTATAATGTGAATTAACGGATGAATAGGCTCAAATCAATTGCGACGTATAGGAACGACGAATTTAGCAAACGTCACGATAATCGGCCTGTATTCAGTTCAAACAGTTCATTGTTCCGTAATTAAAACAAAAAAAAACTTTTCTTCGTAGTTTTCAAAATGTTCTCTTTTATCTGACGATAATAAAAAGAAAAGAAGAAACGTGTCTGTCTCGTTGTTTTCATATAATGACGCGATGAAATTCTGTTGGAACAGCAAAGACTTTAAAACTTCTCGCGGTCATCTTTGATTTTATAACAGAAACGAGGAAAATTAAAACTCGTGCGAAGAACATTCGCACGCATTTTTATTTAAAAATATGAACATTATATTTCTGAACCCTCCCCGCGTGAAATCAATATCTTTGTGAAATATATCGGACGGATTATAAAAAAAAATTTTTTTTTCATTCAATACAAAATATTATATCAGCAAAATTGAATCGAAAAATATAAAGCTTTTGCAGCGTGTCACACGCCAATGTGATTTCGTGTGTTGAATCAAAAGAAAAACCATATAAAATATACCGAGTGCGCTCTATTGATTCCCCACGTGCGTTTATACAGAAATATACTCTTTTATTTTTACAAAAGGTGCACTTTGACGATTTTTCCTCGCTTCTGACGTCATAAAATGGTCACGAGAAGCCTCAAAGCGTTTTATCAAAGTCATATCTTAGATACGATATGACACGCAGAAGCGCGGAACTGCATGTCGCAATAATTCTCAATTTTTCCACGCTTTTATCTCGAACGCCGCTGGCTTTGGCAATTCTTTCTAAACTCGAACCGCAATAGCGACGATTACGCAGTGTTCTCGACACACACGATCGTACATTAGACCCGTGCTGCGCAACAATTTATCGAAGCGCGCAGTTAGAGTCGCAGTTGCAAATGGAAGTCGCGCATGTGTTTGAGAGGCAATTCTCTGATGAAAAGCCGCGTCGCAATTGAATTTTCGTTTCTGCAATGTGCAATGGATTAGAAAAAAATATTACAGATATTTGTTTGATATTGCAAGAGTGTGTACCGGTAGAATATATATGTGTAGCAATATCCAAAAATGTGATGTGCCGCGTGATGTATCCATCGAGTTACGCAGCAAACAAAGATAAAAATAAAATTTCGCTTCTGATTGTCGCGTCCGAGTTGCGCGATCAATCATTATCACACACACGCGCGCGCGCGCGCGATGATGTAAAAATATTTTACATTAAAATTGTCAAAAAGTTTCTCTTCGAATCAACTTGACATTTTCGAAAGACGAAATTTATTTGCAACACGCGCGATGAGCTTTTAATTACTTTCGCGGTTTGGTAGGACTGGAAGCACTTACCTAACGAACAGAAGGATTTCGTAGTCAAAATGCGCATCCATCCTCGTTGTCTTCGCTGTTGTCATGGAAGCGACAGCATCCAACTTGGATGCAATTTAATTGCGGCCCTTGCACTTTATTCGCCTTACTCAGAGAGAGAGATAGAGAGAGAGAGAAAGAGAGGGAGAGGCTGCGGGAGTAACGAAGAACCAGAGAGCGCGGAACGGTGTGATGAGGTAGAGAGGGGAGCGGTGAAACAGAAGGAAAAGAGCTTAACTTTAGTTCGGAACTTCGGCGAACGAGGCCATCCCACGGGAAATCAATGTGTCTGACGGGTTCAGAGAAGAAAATCGGACGAGAAAGAGGCGACGATCGCGTGTATGCGTGAGCTACCTTTACGTGTGATGGTTAATTTGATAACCAACTCGTGTCGAGTCCGCGCCTTTCTCGTCAATGTTTCTTCTTCTCCGACTTTTTCTTTCCGCGGACTTCTTGACCCGTCCTTTCGCCGATTGAACTTGGCGACGACGAAGATTGTTTGAAAGACCCGAAGAAGAAGGTGTGTGTGTATATATATATATATATATACACGGCATATGATGAAGAAACACTCTCGAATAATTAAATAGGAGATTTGCATTTTACAAAGCAATAAGTTACACGAGAGTTTCCTTACACAACACCAAAAGTCCCTAGTCGAGTCGTGGCACATATTTCTCATTGTTCCTACGTCCTACATTCTCCTTTTCTTTCCTTCCTTCTTATACAAATGCGAAATACATAAATTGAGCCTCAAGGCAGCAAAAATCTCGCAGGGATTAAAAAAACGCTTTGTGTATGTATATATATGCGTGTGTGTGTATAAGTGTACGTGTGTGTGTGTTTGTTTATTTCTACGTAGAAGACGAGTTCTCACGTTAAATTCCGCATGAGAAAATATATAGGCGCGGGATTATATAAAGGTACGCTGTCGAACAAAAGTATATAAACGTCTTTCAAAAATCGAAATCTCATGACGCGTCGATAGATAAAGGTCGGAATAAAATTTTCCTATGTATTCGTTTATTTATTTTTTAAATGCTTAATATACAAGTTGCCGTTTGACTGGACATATATATATATATATATATATATATATATATATATATGTATATATGTATATATATATTTTTATTTTCTTTTGTTCGGCAGCAATGCACGCAATTCCCGTTTCAACATCCGCATTCGCGAAGAAGAGGATCGAATTACTGTGGAAGACTGGAAAAGGACTGCGTCGTTGTTTCATCGACGGTTTGTTTCGTGTAAAAAACGGACGAGATATAATAATAGCACCGCGATTATGCACGACTAAGTGCAAATCCAGCCACGACATCGAGATTTCGTCGGGAATTATATGTGGTTAGCACCTAAAAAAAAACAGTTTATCATCGCTCGCCAAAAGTGTAACACACTTGAACAGCTTAGCTCTACACCGCACAGCTCCAACTTCGCTCTATAAGTTTGATTTTGACTTCAACTAGCTACCTCTTTCGCGCTAGCTTCAATCACCTTCGGAAGTTCATGTCCTGCGACAAGTGAAAGAAAAAGCGCCAGCGTACGTTTTTCGAATAACATTCAAGTAACACAAGATCTATTCATGTATCGCGAGCCTGTTTTTCAGTCCTGTAATCCTTGCCAGTCTTTCGTCTCTCTGGATTACGAATTATCCTATTGTTTTGTCACTTTCATGTTCTATTGTATCTTAAATACGGGCGAGATTGCAGCGTTCACGTTCTGTTCGATGAGTCAGTACGCGAGAGTTCGTCCACAATGTGATCCGTTGATTCTTCGGGTGTGTCCTTGTCGTTTTGATCGGACTCTAGGTCCGATGATGGCTCGGATCAATCACTGTTAAGAGAGAAAGAGAGTTTTTCGTTGTATAATAATATTTTTTTTTTTCGATATAAACAGTCAAATAATAAGGAACAATGTGTGCATTATATATTTTAAATTATTATTCCATAATTATCTCTTTATAGTTTCGCACCTGTCACTATTTTCGCTAGTGGCTTCCTCGCTGCAGTCCAAATCGAGCTCGCCTTGAATCGCGCTCTGCAAGTCATCGATCCTCTGAAGCGCCAGTCTGAGATCGTCTCTGGCCACTTTGGTTTCGGCCTCGGCCGCTTCCAAAGACTTTTCTATGTCACGACGTGCGCGCAGTGCTTCCTGCTCGCGCGATATCGCCGCGCTAGCTTCGTCGCGAGCGTCACGCAAAGATCGTTGCAATCTTCTCGCCGTATCCTGAGCAGTTTGCTCCTTAGTTCTGAGTAAGGCCGACTCGGTCTGCAACTTCTCGACGTTCTCCTTCAATCGTGCTATTTGAGTCTGCGAAAATAATAAAAATAATTAGTGCTGTTGATGAATTTATTACCTACAACTCGTAGTTTTTATTCTCTCCTAACTGAAGAAAGTAATTAAGAAATGTATGTGTGTGTGTGTGTGTGCGCACGTGTATGTAGATCTAAAAAAAGTTTACTACCTCCAAACGAGCTCTCGTGGTCTGCTCCAGTTCGAGCTTGCTTTCGAGCTCTTTAGCTCGGAATTCTAGACGTCTTGTGGCGAGACTGTTTGCCGTAGGATCACCAAGTTGCTCCACTGATTCTAATCGTTGTGTCAATTCCGCCAGTTGATCTTTCAGTGACGATTTCTCTGCTTCAAGTGCGGCAATTTGCACCTGCGCCTCTTGTAACTGACCTTGTTCCGCGGACACTTGTTGCACCGCAGTCCGATATTTCTTTAAAACCTTGCAATTTTATAGAAAAGAAAATTTATTAAAAAAGAAAAAAAATGAGAACTATTAATATTTAAACTAATTGCTTCAATCTTTATAAGTTAACTTTTTAAACTCTTTAAAACAGAAACACAAATTTTTTAATTTTTGTTTGAAAAATAAAATAAAATAAAAAGATGTACCTCGGAAAGCTCCTCTTCATTCTCCTCTAATTGAGAGAGCAGTTCCGTGCGTTCACGATTGGCTGCATTAGCTTTTTCTTCCGCTTCGGAACGCTGTCGCATGGCTTCTTCCAAAGTCGCTTGCGTCTCGTTTAATTCTTGTTCCAATGCCTGTTTCGCTTTAATCGCCGCTGCTCGGGCGCATTCTGCGTCTTCTAATTGATTCTTCAATTGACGCAGCGCAACTTTGCCTGTCGAGTCGCCTTTAGATCTCTCAAGCATTGTCTGTGCGTCTCTGAGTAATGCTTTTGTTCTCTTCAGATCTCTCTTCAGCCTGTGTTTTATTTCATATATAATTTTCAATAAAATAAATAATTGAACCAAATTTGAGAAAAAAAAAATTCAGATTCAATAGTTTTACACTCACCTCTGCATGGTTTCAGCTTCTGCCGCGCGATCGGCTCGGTCTTGTTCTTCCAGAGTCACTAAACGACGTTCTAGTTCGTGCTTTTCTCTCAAAAGAATCGTTCTTTCCTCATGCTCGTTCTCTAACTGCGACTCGAGAGCTTTGACCTTTTTATGCGCGTTGCCGCGAACGTCTTCTAATTCCTCGTCGCGCTGCTGCATTTCTTTGCGCATTTCCTTTCGTTGTTGTTCGATGCTCATTTCAAGTCTGAGTTTTGCCTGTTCAAGCAATTGCACTTGACCGGCCAGGTCATCCAATTCCTCTTCCTGATCCTTTGTACGTTTTTCCAGCTCGTGCTTCGCTTTCTTCAGTTGCGCAACTTCTTCCTCCGTTTTGCCGCCAAAAGTAAGCTCTTCTAATTCTTGAGTTAACGTGCGAAGCCTTTCCTCTTTTAGTTCGATTTCTAATCTTGCATCCTGTCATAAAAACATTTTATACATACATATATATATATATGTATATAATTATGACAATATTATAATTGATAATATATATAGATTTGTCTATTTTAAACTGAAAACAATAAAAAACGAAATAAATTATAAATGAAATAAAAGAAAATCTACTCACACTTAGATTTTGTTCTATTGTGAATTTTTCCGCAATAGCTATTTCCTTTTCTCTCGCTAATCTTTCACGTTGTGCTTTCTCCTGTCGGAGATCATTCATCAAATTCTGAGTTTCCGAATCAAATCTACAATATCAAAAACAACAAACAATATTTAAGCAACCTCATTAACTGTATTATTTTTCTCATTAAAAAATTTAATATATTTTACACTTATGTAATATATTTGTGTAACATTAAGTAATTGTTAGTGTAAATATTGGAACTAACTTATTCAGTCTACGTTATTCGCAACGAGATCGGTTTTAACCGCGCGAAGAACGAACGCTGTATTTAGATTAACAGGAAGCTATCTTCGAACGGTCAATCGTGATTTACAGGCACACACCGGACGCGTCGCTGGCAACACACAGATCGGGTGGCGTTACTGGCCTGGCGAGATGCCAGAAACACTTGTTGCCGCGAGTGAAATGAGAATAGAGCGAGCTACCACCCGATACCGACTCGTCGACCATTAAACCGCGGATTAAATACATGAGGCAGTATGTCTTGAGACGAACGACAATGTGGACAGATCGCGTGAAGTCATGTATAATTACGTTTGAATTACACGAATTCACACGAGACAAGACTCACTTGCGCTGTTTCTTCTCGAGGAGGTTGTTTCTGGCCGTCTGCTCTTCTAACAGCAATCTTAGATCGTGCATCTCACCGTTAAGTTTCTGAACTCGTCGCTTCCACTGTCCGACGACTTGTCGCTGCTCCTCCACCTCCTCATAAGCATCGGCCAACTACTCGAAGAAATGAGAACATGATGACAACATGCTTGTTTATCATTACTTGAACTAAGTTGATGTTACCTTTTTCTCTAACTGCTTCTTCAACCCCACCAGTTGCTCCAGATCGTCCTCGTGTTGCTGTGCCATTTTCCTCTTTGTGAATTCGAGTTCTCGTATCGCGTGCTCGTACCTTTGCTTATAAACACCGCTGCTGTCCTCGCCTTCCTCGCCGTCAGAGGCGACTCCGTTCAAATCGGCAGCCCTCGCGTAAAGCAGTTCCATCTCCAGCCGTTCGGTCGTCTGCTGAAGATTCTTATTAGCCTCGGTTACATCCTGCAACTCTCGCTCCAGCCGCAGACGCTCCGAAGTCTCGGCGTCGATTCTCTCCGCAGCCAGTGTAGACGTAGAATGTTCCTCGGCGAAGTCTGCGGTCATCTCGCTCAGCTTGAACAGAAAAACACATCTTACATAATGGTAATTGAACACGATACGTTAAACAAACTATATAGAATATCGTTTCGTAGGCCTTCGGTTTTAAATATGTATTTCCGAAGGAGAAGTGTTTATTTTTAACAAGTGCTATTTGAGTTTAGTGTATTTTTTACCAGTATTTTTTTTTAATTTTATAAACTTTTTACATTTGGAATGTGTCTTTTTTCGTTATTCTCTGGCGGAAATCTCCTTACGTTACGTTACCTCCTGTATTCCGTCCGACAAAGTCGCGTCTTCCGAGCCACGGGACACGGATCTCCTCAATGGACTTTTGGTTACGCTGTTTGATCTGCTGTTGCTATAGTACTGATAACCGCGTATCATGATATTCGTCGCGCTTTGACTCCTTCTAGCTATACCGCGCGATTTATTCCGCGGGCTATTAGGCACGCTTATCGCATCATCGTCGGCCTCGTTGTTGTGCCCGAGACTCCGCCACTCGTCCATTATGTGATCGGTACGTTTCAAAAATTGAGAGATTTTCGACGAGAGATAAGACGAAGCGGTGGACGGTTCTAGATGAGACGCGGTGGGTTTGAAAGACTGCTTCACTTTCTGACGTTCGCAACCCAGAACGAAGTTGAGACTCGCGTCAAAGACAACCGGCGCCTGTTCTTTGATCAGCACGTTCTCGATCGACGGCGAACGCGTGCTCTCGCGAGGATACGTTCTTCGCGGTGGGATCGAGAACGTTGGCGAGTCCAAGCGAGAGAGACTTCGCAAGGATGTGACGGATGGCGATCTCATTCCGGATCTCGTACGATATGAGGCACTAGAAGACACACTGCAGGGTGAAGGACTTCTCGTGATGGAGTTCCAATTGCCAACTAGCAGACTTCTGTTGGATAATTTCTTGTAATGGTTGTAATTCGGTGGCAGGGGTGGCCTCTTTGCCATGCCGCTCATTGAAGTCGACGGAATTGGTAAGGTGTTAATCAGACTACTCATTGAACTGTCCTCGAGCGTTTCGTCAGAGCTCATGGCATCCAACGAATTCAGGTGTTCGTTATCGCGAGAGGGAGGAGGAGTACTCGGATACCTTGTAGGTACGGAGGGCATCTTGTGAGAATTTGTGTTAAAACGTTTAAGCCGACTTCGGAATATTGTGTGTAATTCGATATATAGTTAATTACGATCTTCTGTTCAATATATTGTTTCTTTTTTCTTCACATTTCCACTCATAAAACGACCGATGGATCGGACGGACTTTTCGGATTCAGTTCTTCAATCGTTGCGATTGGCATTTCGAGTTGCCTCCTTTTTTTTTTTTCGTGTATCGTTACATATTACTTGGACGAATTGCGTAACGCCAATGACGCCCGTGTCGGCGAGGAGTCGCGATGCAACTGCCTCTTCCTGGGTCGGCATCGGAGGCGTCTGGTGGAGGAGGCGGTCACCTCCGAGTTATTCTCAGGGAAAGACGGCGAGAAAGAGAGAAGAACGAGGGATATAAAGGTGGAGGGAAGGTGCCGTGCGAGACGGCGATTCTGGCTATTCGCCAGGTTCGCCGTGGATTTTGTGAGAAAAGTCAGGAGAGGAAGAAAAGGGGAGAACATAATACACCGGCGAGAGGAAATCTAAAGATTATTATCCGCGTTCGTGAAAATAGAACGTCGAGGAGGAAAGAAACATTTTACTTCATTGTAAAAAAAAAATACGTGAAGAAAAACTGACACTTGGTCAACAAAAAGAGAATTAAAAAATGTTCTCTCTCTCTCGTTCATCCTCAAACGAAATTTATTAAATTCTAATTCTAAGGGGTGTGTTGGTTAACGAGTTAATGACCGCTCTGTCGCAAATACAGTGGTTGTATTCAATTGTTACGTATAAAACGGAGACATTAAAGTGCGCAGAAGATATTTTCTCGAGCGACAATATCTTTCTCATAAAGACACTTGATCTGACAGCCTTTTTACGTATTAACGATGCTAGAACGGCGATGTAACGTGCGAGCTCTGCTGGTCGAGTCACGATAATAGTTGCACACGCTCGACACGCGCTGTCTGGCGTGCTTAACCCAATTGCGCGACGTGCGTGCCGCGAATACCTAAACGGGCAGTTTGGGCTTAATGCATCCTTCGAGAGTGCCTCTATTAGATTCATCATCGCGATCACACGCAACGTCGTTATGGCAGAACAAAAAGGCGCCACGAGCGAAGTAACAAACGCTTGAGGGCGACTTCGAGTTCAGAGCGAAAGAAGAAAACACACATTGCGCAATAAAATAATTTGTAAATAAAAATCATCATTGTATAAATATATAAATTTACCTTCGCCTCTAGTCTGTCATTGTCATGCTTGAGATGATTGCGTTCCTGCTCCAGACGTTCAACTTTTGCCCTGAGAAGTTCGAGCTCTTCCTATTGAAATAGAAAAAAATGTGTTTAAGAAAACAATGACGATGAAAATAATAAATTGTAATACGTTGTAGAAAAGACGGCGCATTTTTTTTTCTCACCGTTCGCGCTTTCAACTGATCTTCGGTTCGATGAACGTTCAACAAGGGCGCGACTTTCACGTACAATCTCCACCAAGGCCATTCTCGCACCGACATCAGCTTCCTCACGTTCCTCTGGATGCATCGCACTGCAAGATCTTGCAACTGCATGAAAATTCGATTCAATAATTGTCAATATAAAAAAATTATCACTAGAACAAAAATACAAGCTAATGAATAATGAACACACTGATTTTACTTTTGAGGAAATCAATTCTTATAAACGTATACGGGATTAGTGTTAAATTAAATGTTACTTCTGTGTATTAATCGAATAAATCTAGGCGAAAATATTTACTTAGAACTTTTCTCACACGTGTATATAACCGGAGAATTATTTTCTAAATATAATTCTTCTATAATTTAGGATTTATAAATATAGAAAACATATGTGCGACCTACTTTTAAGGTGTTGAGTTTGCGACGCGCTAGATAGCCTCTGCATCTCGCCTGTAGCAGAATGATGTGTCCTGTGAGTTTTTCGTCCCTCTGAGCTTCCAATCGTTCGAGAGTGCCAGATCTGAAAAATATCTGCGAACAAAAAAAGAAAAATATCCACGTATGTACACAAGTTTCTCGTAGGTTTCTTCATCATCGATAGAAATATACTCATCGTTAATTAACATTTAAAACGCTGATGTCATTACTGATATTAATTTTCTCGCAATCGATTGCAGTCTGTAAAAATGTGTCTAGTGCTGCGTATAAGAATGTAGATATACAAGAAAACACGCACGCGCATTAAACCGGAGTTTTCTCTTTTTTTTTCTATCTCTCTCTCAGGGGCAATGAAAAATGTTAAGATATGCATGGCACAGTTTTCCGCTACTTTCAACTCGTATGAAAATAAAGGATGAACACATAGCTTCTGGAGCGTGAAGATATATCGAGGCGTTTTGATTGCATTAGAGATAAAGAGAGAGAGAGAGAGAGAGAGAGAAAGAGAGAGCATACTTTTACATAAGACTATGCAACTAAATTGATCATTAAGAGTTATGTATGTCGATATGGTCACTTTCAATTTTACTTTGCATCTTATTTCTCTCTTTCTATCTCTTTCTCCCAGTAATTAAGACGCGTTTCTAATCAATTAAAATTGTAAGAAACTACAATCATAAAATTGAGAAAAAAAAATCTCTAGTTTGATCTCGAATTCTGTTATAATAATTGCGCCGGATTCTCTAACGTTTTTTTTTTTTTTGTTTTGTGTTGTTGTTATTGCTATACAAGTTGATTACTCTTATACAAAATCATCCTCACGATACTTCACATGATCCTTTACAAACGATCGCGTGTTAGATACGCGGAGCAATCAGCGCGGCCTAATTATCCGCTCAACCCTCTAATTAGCTATCGCATTATCAGCATTTCCAGCTTACGACCAAGTAAGACGAAATGGTTCGACACGGACCTGTCGCCTACTTGCTGAGGATTTGTCGTCTCGACAAGCGTCGATGCTGTTGGCACCGCCAGACATCAGAAGATTCTCTTGGTTTATAACAATCTTTTTCTCAGGCTCGGCTAATCTGCGAACAATCGTCGGCTCGTAGATCTTCACATTGTGATCGTCTCGATTGATCTTGCCGAAGTAATTCTGTTGTTGTTCCTCCTTGAAGTGACTCATCTCTCGTTGACTCGAGCTCTCCATACTTTCCTTCCATTCCACTTCGTTCTCGTTGCTCATGTGTCCGCTGTCCTCGGAACAGTTTCCATCCGACGCGTATCCGCTGTATTCGTTTCCGTTCTTGAGCTCGGTCTTCTTCAAAACGGGCGTCTCGATAATAGGAACGTCGACGATCTTCGACTTGATCAACGTTGACGATGTTTCGTGCGAAGTTTCCTTGGAAGTTTTGGCGTTTTTGCAGTTGAAGAAGTTCACCAGATGTTCGATATCCTTGGCCCGTTTGCCAACGCACTGTTTCTTCTTCGTATCTTGCGTGTTGTCAATCACATCTCTCGAAGACGTCACTTTCGATAAGTTCACAGTCGTTCTTCCGTCAAAATTCGCGTCACTATCCTGACTTCCTCTGGTTTGCCTCTCCCAATTGCGTCTCAGCTCTTGTATGGATGTTTCCTTGGTCTTCTTCACCTCGGCAACCTCATTCAACTTTTCGCAGTCTTTGAAGCGATTGGACTTGCCCTCTTTCGCGACAGATTCCATTCTCTTGAAATCTTCTTTTGAATTCGTGTTATTGTCATTACAAGTGTCAACTGTCATCAATTTTCTCTTTATCTCTTCATCGTTCTTCTTCAATTTTTCATTATTTTTATCATCTCCGCAGTTGTGTTTTTCCACGGCAACGTTATTCTTCGGGAGAGTTTCTCGAACCTCGTAAACACTTTCCGTTTTACGTGAAGGAACGGTATCTGTCGCAACGTCCGCAGAGTCGACCGTCTCACTCGGTTCCACGTCATCCTCCAGCTGCGCCATCAGTCGCGCTGCTCTCTCTTCGAGATTACTCGGTGTCGAAGTCCACATGACGTTCAACATCGACGCGCGCTCGAGAGTCTCGCGACAGTTTTCGTAGATGCGATCGTCTGACGTGGCATCGAGATCAAGCTCGAAACTGATACGGCCGACCGGCTCCGCGACGCGATCTACTTGCGATAGATCGGCGAGAGAACGGCCAAGACCGGTGAATCGAGCGGCCGGAAGCGGTATTTTGCTCGGCCTGGAGACCGAGTTCGGTCTCGCGAGCAAAAGACTTCCGGAAGACTTTCTGCATTGATTGAGATCCATCTTCTGTGAGTACACGTTCCACAGACTGGTAGACCTGTTCATGTTTTTTCGCGGCGATTCCGTCTTCTTCTTTTCCGCCAATTTTGTTTCCAAAGATACCGGAGTCCATCGGGACGAACTCGCGGAAGAGTAATTCGTTTGATTGTCCGAAGACACCGAGTTCAAGCTGACCGAGCGATCCAGATTGCCTTTACGTCGCAGCATCTCCGGTTTCGTCGGCATTCTGTCGGGCGTGTAAGCGAGACCCTTCTTCAGCAACGTTCTGTCCTCTAAAATCGTGCACGAGGGAGACGCGCTGGCGGATTTGCAAATCCTCTTCTTGTCATTGTTGCGCGTAGCGGGAGAAACAATTTTTGTCACGTTCGATCGGGTCTCGCTCGAGGTTCGTCTCGCGGGTTTCGGCGGGCAGGCAAGTTGAGACTTCGGAAAATCCAAAGTGGAAGTAGAACCGCGACGTAACGGAGTGACCGGGTCTCCGCCGGATATCTTCGTTGACATCTTCGAGATTGGCTTGGCGTAACGAGGCGGTCTGCTCGGAATAATCGTCGTGGAACTCGTCTGATTTGACTGTCCCTGCTTTTTGACCGATAAATACGGCGTCTTCGACACGTTCGGACTGCTCTTGGCTTTGACTAAACGCGAGCTGCCGCTGCCGTTGCCGCCGCCGCCGCCGCTGCCGGACACGCACTTTGATATGTTACCAAACATGTTGATAGAAGATTCGTAGAATCAGATCTGATTCAGAAAGAAAAGGACAAGTATTGTTAGTAATTGACCGTTTTAATTCTAGCGTTTCTCTTCTCTAGAATTATTTTATTGTCATATTATCTTTTACATAAAAGATATGACGCAATGTTTATATTATTTATATCCGTGTGCTCATTAATACAACATCTCTCACTATCTTACTGCTTCTTTCTTGCTTCAGGTTTTATACATCCTTGAGTCGCTTCTTCCTTGGATTAGGAAGTAAGCGGATTGTTAAAGATAATTCTCAAAAACGTTTTGCGCGCGTCCAAGCAGGAAGGTATCTTCTTTCAATAAAAATCACCTTCGGGACGTTATATTCTCTCTTGTTTTCAAATGCGTTCGACTTCGCTGGTTGTTGAAAAACTGAAGAAATTAGTCGACGCGCGCTTTTCTCGACGATATCATGTCTGTGTTCTAAACAAACTTGTGTATGTGTTTTTGACGATTAAGACACAGTTTTGAAATCCACTGCTTTTCTCAAAGCCACCAGTAAACGTCAACTAATATATCTGCGTCTTCGACCGGGTACTTAAGAGTCGAAAAACACAACAATTCCCTCGAAGAAAGTTTGTGTTTAGAGGTGAGGCGAGATTATATTATTATATTCTCTCCGTCACCGCAATTATTTCTATCGATTCTCTCGTGTGAAAGAAATAAATAAAACTGCCGTATACAGTAAAATCTGTACAATCAGTCACTTCGCGAGTTTAAGTAGAGGATTTACTTTCTCGACATGTAGCAAACTGCTTTGCTCTGTAAAAAAAAGAAAAAAAATCAATATCTAATCGCACGCGGGAAGATGTCGTTAACGTTTAACGACTTGTCGTTAAGTGTGTTGCACTCGTCACACAAGAGACCCGGGACTCTCAATTATTAACGCCACCGCGAGACCGCGATATTTCTCGCGCTTGCGAACGTTACAGAATGACGGGTCTCTGAAGAAGAAACCTCTTTCTTTCTTCTATCGCACACACAGAACAAGCCGCTACTAAGCGACGTAAAAGCCGCGTAAAAGCACACGCATCCGACTGCGAGGGTAGAAGTGAGGAAGCGAAAGAGAGAAATTAAGAGACGTTGAAAGAGAGGGAGGAAGGAGTGAGGGAAGTAAAGGAGAGAGGATCGAGAAACCTGGTGTGAGAGAGACAGAGAGAAAAAAAAAGAAAGAAAGAAAGAGAGAGAAAGAGAGAGAAAGAGAAGGAGAGCAGGTTATCTTGAAGCCGGTTACATGCACTGGCTGGCAACTCTCAACTGGCAGGAAGATGCAGCCGGTTAATGCTCGGGTGCCAGCTTATCATTTTCATTGAAGAGAGACGCCGTGTGTCTTCTTGCTCCGATAAATCGCGGTGCGAAAGACAAACCGGAAAGTGTAACGGTGAGAGAACCTCTTAATGTTATGATATACGTATCGAAAGGTTCATTAAGAATGAACAATATTGGCGAGGAGTGGAAAAAAAGTTTACAAGCGTATACATTATGTTCCTTCGCCAAAAAGAGATATAACTAACACGGAACACGAGTGGCACATTTTTGTCGAAGGCAAGAGCAATTTTCTCAAAAAACAAAAAATTAAAATTTGTTCCCTTTTTATATTGCGTTTATTGACTGACAATTTATTGCAAAAATCTTTGTTTGCAAAAAAAAAAAAAAAGGACTCCCGATTTGTCGGGAGAATATTGTTCCAATTTCGCGCCGCAACTTGAGATGTTAGAAACCTGATGAAACTATAATTGTTCGCTTGTTTCTCCGATGTATCAGCGTATCGTATTTTCTTGTGACGAGGTAAATAGATCGGTCAAGAAGTGCCGACAAGTGTGGAATTAGATTTCCCGCAACTTGGCTAATTAAAACGCGCAACGAAGGATAACGCGACAAGAATACGCGAGAATTTGAATTTTGCGATGTCTCAATTCTCCGCTTTTCTCTTAATTACGTGACGAGAACGACGCGTTTGTTGCGAGAGATAAAGTTCACTTTGTTCGAAAAAAAAAAAAGAAAAAAAAAGAAAAAAAAACAAACTCTCGCGGTGATGAAGCCGGCGAGC